GTCTAAAATTAAGTCCCGGACGAGGGGAGCCTTGTGAACTACAGACCTGGCATTTAGCGACAACAGCCTGAGACCAGGGCCCTGATTACTTGCGCCTTCTGGCCTTGGAGTGGGACTCATAGGGCCGGAAGGAGGGATCTCTGTGACGTAGCGAGCCCTCCTTCCCCGGTAATGGCCAGCCCTAAAGTCCCCGCCATATCTGCCCCTCCCTGTTACGACCGTGATGCTCCAGCCCACTCCCGTGTCCATTGTTCCCTCGACCATCCCTATGGCTCCCACATTCCCCGACAGGCCCTCCGAATCAAACACACCCATTTGTTCACCAGACAGTCCCCACATAATAGTTAAAACACATAAAATACAGTGGTAATAAAATAGTAAAAAGTGGGATCATTCACTCAATCACATACAATCCCATGCACTCACCATACCAGATTAAAAATTGCGCAGGCGCGCGAAGTCCATACAAGGCTTATATCTTCTGCCAAGACCAGTAGAGAGTCCAGTGTAACATATGGTAAAAAATATATGGTCCAAGAGGGGTGTTCTGCCCCTCTCCTTTTCTCCAGGTTCCAAGACACACCCGACAGGGGAGAGGCCACACCTTGAGGAAGGCCGAGTTAGATGGAGCGGAAGGGGGGGGGATCCAGACGGGTCGCAGTGGCAGCAAGCCAGCTTCCAGATCTCATCAAGCGACCTGTCATGTCGATCACCCCCTCTGAATAGTTCAATGCAGTCCGAAGGGGAGGGTGGTTGAAAGGCAGAGTAGGTCCGAATATCAACAGCAGCAACAAGAGCCGGAAGGCCAATCATGGTGGACAAAGGCCTAATGTACAAGTCCGTTCACACCAACAGCCCCCTTAGTAGTTTAAGCCCAAGGTTGGGAAAAAAAGAAGAGCTCATCCCAGGTGGAAGGAGGGGGGGGTGCCCCATTCAGTAGCTGGGCCGCGTTCTCAAGGGGCCTCAGCAAACCAGAGAGCTAAATCAGGCTCCCCCCAAAAGCAGTTAGGCCAAACAATCTTCCAACCCGCTAAGCCGCGGCATTCTCACAGCCAGCGAGCCAGCGAGCTAACAGACAGCGATGGTTGCAGCAGCCAGCAATAATCGGGGGGAGATCAGAGCTCCCCTGGCAGCTCGGCCGCAAAGTCTTGTAACAGCTAAGCTGCGGCGTTCATAAGCCGCGGCGTTTTCAAGCCGGCATCGGCAAGCCAGCGGCACAGCGGTGGTTGTGGTTGCGGCAGTCAGGCAGTAAATACGAGGGGGGAGGTCGGGTTTCTCAGACCAGCTGGGCCGCGGCGTTGGGCGGCGTCAGCGGTATCAACGGTGCCGGCGTCTTTCGGAGGTGGCAGCCTTGGGGAGTAAAAACTCGTCAGTCCACTGCCAGCTCCAGGACCGCGAGGAGTTCACACTACCTTAGCCTCCCTC